AGGGGATGTCCAATTTCCCCCGATGGGCCCTGGGTCCCCACTCTGCGCTCCCCCTCATTCACAATGTTATGGTTGTTTGTTTTTTTTAAGAAAACAATTTCACATTTTAAAAAATGCTGAGCAGATCATCAGAGAAGCTGGCTCATCTGAAGAAAAATGTGGCGTCAGGATCGGAGGAAGGAGTATTAACAAACTGCAATCTGAAGGGGACCTAATCTTGCTTGCTGAAAGGGAGGAGGAGCTGAAGCACTTGCTGCTGAAGATCAAGGACGGCAGCCTTCAGTTTGGATTACAACTCAAAATAAGGAAGACCAAACTCCTCTCAACTGGACCAGTAGGTAACAGAAAAAAGGTGGAAGTTGTCAAGGATTTTGTCTTGCTTGAATCCACAATCGATGCTGGTGGAGGCAGTAGTGAAGAGATGAAAAGATAGGTTGCATCCAGTCAATCTGCTGCACAAGACCTCTACAGAGTTTTGACAAGCAAGGGTATTACTTTGAGGACTAAGGCATGTCTGACCGGAGCCATGGTCTTTTCCATGATCTCATCTGCATGTGAAAGTTGGACAATGAACAAAGAAGACCATGGAAGAATCGATGCATTTGAATTATGGCACTGGCAAAGGTTATTGAAAATATCATGGACTGTTTAAAGGATAAATAAATCTATCTTGGAAGAAGTACAACCAGAATGCTCCTTAGAGTCAAGGATGGCAAGAATTTGTCTTACATACTTTGGACATATTGCCAGGAGAGACCAACCCCTGGAGAAGGACATCGTGCTTGGTAAAGTGGAGGGGCAGCGAAAGAGAGAAACCCTGAAAGGGATAGAGAGACTTAATGGGCAACAATGCGTTCAGGCATAGGAACAATTGTGAGGATGTCGCAGGACCAAGCAGTGTTTCAGTCCATTGTACGTAGAGTAGCTATGGGGCAGAACTAGCAACAACAAAGTGGACCTTAGTCCTCCAAGTACCATGCTTGCTTTTCAACACCTTTTGGGGGCAGCAGATTAACTCAATGCAACGTGTCTTTGGATCTTTGACTGCTGCTTCCATGAGCACTGCTGGTGGATCCAAGCAAAATACAATCCTCAACAACATCGGTGTTTTCTCCATTTATCATGCTGCTACCTATTGATCCAGTGGTGAGGATTTTGGTTTTCTTTACATTGAGTTGGAATCCATACAGAAGGCTTCAATCCTCTTCTGAATTTGGCCTGAATCTCTAGCAGCAACCTGTTAATGGACTGCTACAAGCATGGTAAGACGATCTTCAGTAAAATGCCACTTGCATGTGATATTAATGATATTGGTTTATAATTGTGAATCCTACTGGCTCACCTTTCTTTGAAATGGGTACAAATATGAATCTATCCCAGCCAGTTGGCCAAGTAACCGTCTTCCAAATTTCATGGCATAGATGTGTGAGTACTTTCAGTGTTGCACCAGCTTGTTGAAACATTTCAATCGGTATCCCGTCAATTGCTGGGCGCTTGTGTTTTGCTAATGCTGCCAGAGCAGCTTGAACGTCTTCCTTCAACACTATTGGTTTTGCTCAGTTGCTACCTCCTGAAATGGTGGAATGGTATAGTGACTCTGTGTATTCTTTCCATTTTCCCTGATGCTTCCTGCATCATTCAATATTTTGCCAAAAGAATCTTTTAGTATTACAACTCGAGCCTTGAATTTTCTCTTTTAGTCTCATTAGGATGTCTTTATCAAACTAGTTGCCTATGAGTGGATCTACTAGATTTTAAAAATTCAATACAGGTCATCTTAGGAAATTTTATGATGAGTCCCACCCCTGAAAAAAACAACATTGTATTCGGAGTTAGTACAGATATCATATCATTACTTAGTTCACTCACATTGTTCCCCACACTGTGCCTCCCAAACCCTATTCTACTTGCTGTCTCTGTAGGTTCATCAATCCTGGCTTTCATGTACTGAAAACAGACAAACATAATGAAAATTGAAGAGGGTCACCCCTAATGACAAAATACATCTGAGGTGAACCCCAATATGAACAAACAGAAAATGTTGAAAACCAGGTCAGGTCCAATGTGCATCAGAGGGGGATCAACTGACCAGGTTATTAGCATTCAGGTCAGGTTTATAGAGATGAGCATTAAGGATTAATTGTAACTGTCATAGATTTCATTAAAGGGCACTGGAAAACCAAGGGTTCTTATTGAAAAGAAATTTGAAGAAAATTGAAAACTATGTTGGTGGAAAATGGCACTGAGGAATATTTTTCCATCATGACAATGCACCTTACCATACTTAACATTTGGTAAAGGAAGTTATATACTAATTTTGTTGAGAAATGTCACCCCATATATCTACATGCCTGATGTTGTCCTTTATAGCTCCTTTCCATTCCCCAAAACTCAAAGAACATTGAAAAGGAACATAATTTTAGGCCCTAAGGATGCTAATTTTTTTTGAATGTGGAACAAATTGAATAGTGCAGAATTCTAGAGGTTGCTTGATAGAGCTTTGCAAGATAATGACTTCTTTATTGCAAATGCCCCTTTCCCCCCAACAATATTGATCCTGCCAGATGGAACATACAGGAATCAAATTGTGTACATCTGTGGGAAGAGATGATGGAACAGTTCAATATCAATGAGGGTGGGGGAGACTAGGATAGACTGTGGAACTACCTGTTGATTGTTTACATGCCAAATCAAGTTGAAGAAGAAAATTAAAACAAGTCCATGAGATCAAAAATACAACCATGTTTATATCTCACATGAATTTAGAGAACATCTTAAAAAATCATATCATTGTAAATGAGGGTGAGTGCAGAGTGGAGACTCAAAACCCATCGGTAGGCAACTAGACACCCCCTTACTGAAGGGTTGTGGGGAGGTGATGAGCCAGTCAGGATGCAGTGTAGCAACAATGAAACATATAACTTTCCTCTAGTTCGTAAATGCTTCCCCCCCCACTATCATGATCCCAATTCTACCTTACAAATCTGGCTAGACCAGAGGACGTACATTGGTACAGATAGCAACTGGAAACACAGGGAATCCAGGAGAGATGACCCCTTCAGGACCAGTGGTGAGAGTGGCGATGCCTGGAGGGTAGAGGGAATGTGGGGTGGAAAGGGGGAACCAGTTACATGAATCTATATAACTTCCTCCCTTGGGGATGGACAACGAGAAGGGGTGAGGGGAGACGTCAGACAGTGTAAGATATGACAAAATAATAATAATTTATGAATTATGAAGGGTTCGTGGGGGAGGGGAGAGGGGTGTA